TCTCTCTCTCTCTCTCTCTCTCTCTCTCTCTCTCTCTCTCTCTCTCTCTCTCTCTCTCTCTCTCTCTCTCTCTCTCTCTCTCTTTTTCTCTCTCTATGAAAGGCGGGCTACCACCTGTGATGCGCAGCCCTGAGGTCATCCTCCGGGCACCAAATCTGGACCGCCCCATGCAGGTAGCCTCTCTCCCAAAGTGGATGCTCCATGTGCGCCACATAGCACGCGTTGTTGCTACTGGTCCCCACGTGGGCAATGGCGGAGACTAGATAGCGGACGATGTCCCGACGACATCAAGGCACGGACCAAGCCACGAGTCCGGCACAACATTCGATAACTTCTTCACGAACAAGCCGACCTCCGCAAGGCTGCCATCCCTGCTCGTACCCTAACCCGGCCACCATCCTCAGGGCGAGGAGGCCATCAACAAGCGCGTAGTAAATGCGCATGTGCTCGTTGATGACAGTGGGACCCCAGTCCATATTTCGATGGCGCTCCGTTCCCCGTTCCAAACGGGTCTCCTGCACGACAACCTCTTTTCTGTCGACCACCTCCCTCACCACGTCGGATACGTCCGCCATCTCTCTCTCTCTCTCTCTCTCTCTGCCTTCGCATGCAGAGCTGAGAGCACTCTTCCTTTCGCGAGGAGTGCGTTGTCGATTGAAGTACCGCCCACCAACGACTGCGCTGCCCAGCGAAGCCGCGACTGCCCACGTATATATACGCTGGGACCGACTACTGATATATGTATACAACGACGAAGATGGGTGTTGGCTGTAGTTTCCCCGTCCCGACATCCAGGCCGGGTGTCCCATCCCTTGTTCGGTCACCATCAACCGGTGTGTCCCTATATATATATATATATATATATATATATATATATATATAGGGACACACCGGTTGATGGTGACTGAACAAGGGATGGGACACTCGGCCTGGATGTCGCGACGGGGAAATGACAGCCGACACCCATCTTCGCCATTATATATATATATATATAGGAAGTCTAGCGCGCCGAGGGGTCTGTATCGGCCCTGTCGTATGCAGCACTGTTTTCCCCACCTCCGCGCCTTGCGAGAAACCCCACCAGCATCTCAAGGACAGTGTTCCCGCCACGCATTGCGTCTGCCACGTCACCGATCTTCGCCGCAATCGCCGAGCCTGCCTCCGACGTTGCCTTCGCCAGAGTGGCAGCGGCCTTGTCCAAACCCTCGCCGTACGACCGTGTCGCGTCCTCCATCGCCCTACTCAATGTTGTCCCACCGCTCATTGTGTCGTCCATCCTGCTTTTGCCGCTTGGTCCGAATCCTCCGTTGCTTTGCCGTCGGAAGCACTCCTCCCCGACGACGGCTGTGCTGGACCGCCGCTCGTTGAATTCCCCCCCGCGTTGCGTGGCAGGTTCTCGGACGCCAGCGTCTTGTTACACTTGATGGATGGCCGATTGAGTTTCCACTCCATCGCTTCCCACAGAGCTTTCTCAAAGCCAAGTGGCACCTCCTCCACCTTCCGCTCCTCAAGGGTCATGTCCCAGTACGAAGGTTTCCCCGAAGCATTCTCACACTTGTCGAGAATCAACTTCGCCGCCACCAGCATGCCCTGCCACTTCTTACGACAATCCTCCACCGACCTGTGCGGAAACCCCTGCTCCGCCATTCGATCGTGCACCCACTCATATTGGTCCTTACTCCTCTTGAACCGATGCTGCCCGTCAGCGTCGGCCATAAGGGCGTCATCCTCGGCCATCAATCTGGATAGCGTGATCCTCTCATCCAAGGTCCAGGCGATGTTTTGCTTCTTGTTTTTCGAAGCACCATCTTTGCCCCCCCGCTTGTTTGCACGCTTGCCGCTTTGGGGGCCGCCCACATTCTCGCCCCCATCTCTCTGCCCAGCACTAGCACTGTCCCTATCCTCCTGTGCGTTGTCAGAGTTTTGCCCATCAATGTCACCGCCATCACATTCGACTTCATCGTCGCCAACCAAGTCATCTTCCTCGCCACCCAAGGAAGGACCTTGCAAGCCGGCAGGCGATGAAGTTCTGCTGTGGACACGCCACCCCTCGTCCATATCCTCTCCTTGCACATCTGCCATCGAAGGTGACGGCTTGGCAGCAGACCGCGTCACTGATATGGGCGAGGGAGCGGACAACCCGCCATGCATGGGCTGCGACGGTTGTCGGCACTGAGGGGACCACTGCCAATCGTCCCTCATCACTCCGCCCCTTTCCATAGTGTGCTGCGTGGGGTACACGTGCGGAGCAATGCCATATCCACCGCCGCCCGGGAACATGTGCGGAGAAGGCATGCCATACCCGCCTCCAAACTGTGTGGAAAACGACGTCTGGCCCGTGTGCACGGGGCCCGCGTGCATACTTTCTGCACTGGGTCGAACAACGAACCGCCGACGTGCAGCTTCCGCATAGTGGAGAGATGGAGAGAGGGCACACGAGCAGGAGGCACTTGAATCGGCCCCGCACGCAAAACCTCCTGCATCTGCCGCTGAAGGATTGCATACTCGCCGTCGAAGGCGAGGAGTAGTGGACAGATCTTTCCTGTCGCATGTCCTGGGTCTGGAATCCCCCACCATTGTTTGCACAGGGATCTGTCGTCAACCGGTACGACTCCATTTGGCTGCAGAAGGTATATATACGGAGGCAACACCTGCAAACACTCAATGCGCCCTCGAACAACAACGCTTCGCTGCTTATCTCCACCGACGACAGCACAAGTACACGGTTGCGCACCAGAAAACGATGGACAAGACGAAAGTTGTGGAAAGGAGGATAGCGACGGCAAGCAGGCCTGCGATAACCACCAAAGATGGTTTTTTTCGTTGCCCGTATCCGCCGCAGTGGTTGTTTATGATAAAATCCACACAACAATGACGATGGCAGCGGTCACATCCACACGACCGACTATAGCGTTCGACGACCAACACGTGGCGAGTGTGTGGATGAGGACTTATGACCACATCGTCATGTGCAGCCCATCCCTGCCTACGAGTGTCGGGGTTGCTCTCCGACGAGGACAAACGACCGCCCTGCCGAGGCAAACGAAGAAGGGAGGATGGCAAGGGAGGCACACGACGGAGCACGGCATGTGCAATGACAACCACACAGGAGGTCAGCATTGGACGACACGTGTGCGTGCGGGAAGGTAGTGAGAGCGTCGGGGCCAGACTGTGAGTTCTATAGACACTGCTCGACACAGCGCCAGGAGCTTCGAAATGCAAGCCCCGACCGGACAAGGCCTGCCGATGCCACCAGAGATGGCTTCCCCGTAGGCAGGCCAGGGAACCTGCTCCCACGAAGGAGAGAAGCGATGGCATAACGCCGGTGAGAAACGATGGAGGGTTTAATGGACGTGTCGACGACGGCGACGTGAGGGTGTCAGTGCCGATGCTTCTGCCACTGAACTCGCACGACATGAAGCAATTGCATGGCTGGCCTACATCCTGATCCCCCCAAAAAATTCGAATTTGAAATGCTGCATCATGTCGTTCGCAAACCGAGGGTAGCACGGAGGGCCCAGACCCCCCACGGGCCCCGGTGGGAACCGTGCGACGCGAGAAAATGAAGAGCATGTCCGCGCCGGCATACTGGTCCAGAAAACGATCCACGGCGACGGTCCGTGGTTCGCGCCGTCTGGCCGTTTTCTGGAAACTCGTTTCCATGTCCCCCCCCCTACTCATCTGGAGCCGTACTTGGAAACTGTTTGGAAACTCGTTGCCATAAATTTCCAGGCCGCGAGCCGAGTAGAAACGCCCCGTCAGCTTTTCCACGACCTCTTTCCAAACGCAGTGGGGTCCGAAATTCCTTTCCAGGCCAACTTTCCACGACGGTTTCCAACACCAGTGGGGTCTGAAAGACACTTCCTCGGAAAGAAGTCTCCAGGCCGCCGGCCAGTGGGGTCCAAGCCTAAGCCGGACCTGAAGGTTTCCCCAGTGGGATGAGTCTTCTGTGAGGTCTGTGTCCGGGCTCTGTCCGAGTTTGCGAGATGTCAGTATGTCTTTAAAGTACAGTACCACGTAAGCACACATAGCATTCGAGGTGGAGGCAGGTTTTGCCTCTGCCACGAACGGGTGGTTAAGCATTTTCATTGACTCGGATGCCCGCTTGGGCAGCAGTCTTTGGAATGCTTCCTTAGGGCCTCATTAGACACTCTTTACAATTTCCTTGAGCCACAAGGAAACGTCCTTGTGGTTTTGAAGGGGAAATTGCGGCATCGTTACACTCATCCTTGGGGCCATCCCCCGAGGGTGTTTCCTTGTGGCTTCCCCGCGGCCGTTTTCATACGCAAATTAGCGGCCGCAGGGTATGTCGTCCTTGGTCCAGCTTCTTTGTCCGTGTGGAGGCTGTGTGGTCCAGCGACGCGAGGCGGGAAACGACAGTCTGCGGGCGGCACGAGGAGAAATTTAAACTCCAGAGCGTGGGCATTCAAAATTCAAATTTCGAATGCCAGCTTCGACAGCGACGACTACGTGTGGCTGGCGAGACGAATGCGTCGTGCTGTGGAAAAGGGCCCGGCGGCGGTGGAGGCCACGTCCAGAGGGCTCCCTCATCTGCTCCCGCAACGTGTTGTGCTTCCATCGCCGTGGACCTTTGCGCACGTCGACTGCTCGTTGCTCTTCGCCTCCGTGCGCGGGGTTGTGAGCGGAGAAAAGGGTCCACCTTCTCAACGGACGTCTTCGGGACCATCGTCCGTTGCAGGAGGATGAGACAGACGGCAGCGGAACGACGGGCTATGGAGGGCGGCGCCACGGCTAGACGTGATGTGCTGAGTCATGGTGAGCTGTAGGCGGTGGCGGCGGCCGTGTGGACGATCGTTCTTCGATGTTAGGTGGAGAGGGCGCTGGGGCGACTGAAGGAGCATTTGCGCGCCCGTAGACGGAGGACATTGACGCAAGATCCGCACGATGGTGCCGAGTTCGTGGCGACGTCGGAAGCTGTTGTTCAGTTGTGCTATGCGTTGGGCTGCGGAGTGATACCCCGCGCGATGCCGCGGTGGTGGGTGAAGCGCAGGACAGGAGGAACGTGGGAAGACCTCAGGCTATGCGATGACGCGACTGACGACTACTTCCGCGATAAGCTGCGAATGTCGCCGTGAGTGTTCTGGGAGATCGCGGAGGCGTGTGCGCCTCATCTTCAGCGGCAGGTGACGTTCTACAGGGAGCCTTTGCAGTCGGACCAGATTGTGGCGTACGCACTGTACAGGTGGGCTTCAGGTGAGACGTATGAGAGCAGCACGTGCAACTTCGGGATCGGACGAGCTTCTGGGCTGATTGTCGTCCGTGACGTGACTGCCGCGCTGCTGAGGGTGTTCGGCGATAAGATAGAGTGGCCGACGGGAGTTCGTAAACAAGTCGTTCTTCGGGCGGTCGATGATAAAGGCTTCCCCAACTGCCATGGTTGCATTGATTGCACTCACATCCACGTCGACAAGCCTGCGAATGCTCCGAGCGAAAATTACTATGACAGGAAGCGTCGTTTTTCCATCGTCGCGTAGGTCGTTGTCGACTTGGACTTGTGTTTGCTGGACGTGCACATGGGATACCCCGGTAGCTGCCACGACATCAGGGTGCTGCAGTTGTCCAGCCTGTCGCTGTGCGCGGAGGAGGGGTCGTTGTTCTGCGGGCCCCCTGTCACACTGCCGTTCGGTGTGAAGACGAACGGTTACCTTGTGGCGGACAATGGGTACCACCCTGCCGAATGGATGGTCGTCCCGTACGGCGGTATCAATCAGAGCGTCGAGCAGGAGCGGTTCGACAACAAGCAGAAGGTGGCAAGGGGAGCGGTGGAGAACGCGTTCGGCAGGCTGAAGGGCATGTGGCATATGTTTCTCCGAACACACAAGACAAACCTGGAGACGCTCCCGCAGCAGTTCACCGCCGTCTGCATACTGCACATCTTACTAATCGACGCGGGGATCCCCTTCGACGAGAATCTGCTGTGGGAGGTCGACGGTAATGGTGTGCGACGACGAGTGGACCTGGGGATCGATGAGCTCCTCCAGCCTGTGTCGATGTTAACGTCGACCCGCGAAGCCTTATCCCTGAGGCATGCTTTGGCGGAACGAATGAAACAAAAATGAGTCGTGTATCATTCATGGATGACAGCACATGAAGATGGCTTAATTGCAACAATGGGCGGACACCAGATTGGTCTTTCCGTCCTCCCTTGATTGGGTCACTGTCGTCTGTACCCCGACGGGGTTGGTGGTTTCTGTGGAGGGTCGTTATTCGGATGGTGGAAGGCAGCGCGTAGAAGTGCGATCTTGGTGCAATGGCCGGAGGGCAGAATCGCAGTCTCGTCGGCCGTCGGCTTGGTTGCTAGCCCTGTTAGCCGTCGTGGTCGGCGGCTTGCGTCGACGATTGTGTTTGGTTAGCCGTCGCAATCCACGGATGTGCATCGCGTTCCTTTTTTTTTTATGTTCAAATTTTGTTTTTGGATGCCGTTCATCAGGAGTAGTGCGGAACATGCTCATTGCGGATGTGAGGTGCGCCTTTTTCGAGAAGAGTTAGCGCATTCAGAGGTTAGAGGTATGGTGTTCATCCGGGTGGGCATGAAACTTTCCCCCCATCTCGGTTTCGAAAAAGAATTTTGTAGTGCTGTGATTTCTTCTGCGAAGTTCGAAGTACTTTTAACAGTCGTTTTCGCCCATTTCCATTGTGTGTTCGCATTCCGTGTGCGCCTGTTCATTGCGTCAATGTCGTGCGTTGGCATTTGTGATTCGTTTGATGTTCTGCGGCCAAGTATTCCCTCGACTGATGAGTGCAACACGAACACATGCA